GTTAGTAAAGCTAATAAGCTCAGTAGCTTCTGCAGCAGGAACACAAGCATGTAGTCCACCATTGTTGTTGTTGTTTCTGTTACGTGACATCGCAGTGTCTGACTAGGGGCGAGACATGGGCTGATGATATCATTTCACAAAATATACAGATTGGCTGTACACACGAAAATACAAAGGTGTCGTTTTCAGATTTATCCACTCTGGGACCAAGTTTCAAAAAATAGTGGTCTCAGGCTCCCAAAACGCCGGATCCATCTGGACGAAACACTAATATGACACAACAGTTTTTACGTATACAGCTGTATATATGTGTAGAGAGCCCTAGTGTTGGAGAAGGGATAATAATAATAACCCTATCAGTTGTTAATTTTGTGGTGCTGTTGTGGTGTTGTGCCTTTCCTCTGATCAATGAACAATGTTGCAGCTGTTTTTAAAGAAGACCAATATATCAATATATCTGTCAAGTCAAAAATCCAGTTGACTTGAATGCACCAACGAGAAGCCCAGAAGCCCCAAACTAGATGAACTTGACAAATGAAGTAAAATCTCTCAAAACAGAGTGATGGGGAATTTCTTTGAGCATTTTTATTTTACTCTTTATTTTTCAATTTACAGGAAAACAGGCGATATGTTTTGGATGGAGTGGGCAAGAAGGTAGAGGATGTTATGTTTGTAATTTTGGCAGAATCAAGGGGTTGAGACATTTATCTCCTTTAGAATTAATCAGAAATAAGCATGATGTTGTTTAATCAAGATGTGCGCAAGAGAGGGGGATGATGAAGGTCTGAAGCAGGTTATTAACTGTGTTATGAGGTAATGCAGCCAGATTTAAAAGAGAATGGCAAGAATGATGTTTGATTTTTAAAATTTTTGCTGCTAATCATTTTAAAATATCTGCTGTTTAATAATTTTAGATTTCATGTGATATGATCTCTTCCGTGTTTAGCAGCAAGGTGAGTGGTTTAAAAAGTCAATGTCAAACTCATCCATCTCTTTTTTACCAATTTTGTCCACTTTGCTGATTTCTTTGGCGGGGGGTATTTTGATCTAAGATGATGATACAAAGAGCAGCAGCTTTCATTTCAGCTCTGATAGCCTTAAAACTGTTGAGCACTGTATGTTTGTGTTAGAATCGAGAACATTGTGCCGTTTACATTTTTTTAACCTTCAAACCAAACTTAAGACTTTAGCCAACAAAGCTTATCTGGCTTACGCACTTCAACGACATAATTCCCATAATTTTCTAGAATGAGGTCAGTAGGCAGAGAGGAGTCTCTTGTGTCACTTGAGCGTGTACACTATGAGTGCAATCTGAATTAATGTGTTTTCAACTACATCTGCAAGTGGTCGAAAGTGGACAAGCTCAAAGCGTTTTACACCCTGTTCACACCTGTATTTAGTGTCGTCCACCTGTTATCAGATCGATCAAAATTGATACCAGGTGAAAACAGGGCCTGGATGGACGTAAGAGAGACTGACTTGTGACACTGCACTCTGGATAATGGATAACGGAGGTGGGGCTTGGCAAGTGCCAAAAGGGGAGAATATTTTGTATATTTCTTAAAGTGTATTTTTATTAAACATATAGGAAATATTTTATTTCTCAGTCTACAATATTGAAGAGCTTGAAAAAATTCTGCACACTCAAACATCAAAGCATCACAAGCGAGATGAGAACAATATAAGCAATTTACTGAATGAAACAAGGCAAACGTTTCGGTCACATGTTGATCATTTTCAATGCCAAGCTAACAGTGTCAGAACTAGAAGTCATCTTAATTTGAGGAATCACATGATAATTAAAGAGATCACATGATCAATCAGGACACACACAGATCAAAAAAAAAAAAGCCACAATGTGTGTATATGTAGAGCAATGGATAATCTACATCAAATTAGAGTGCAATGGTTGTCTGTTGGAGTTAACAAAAGTACAATTCATCAAAAACAAGACAATTGAAGTTCTTCATTTAATCCCTTCGGATATACACAGTCCATATAATAGATCCACATAGCTTCACATTGTAACAGTCTTTTGTTAGAATCACCACCTCTTCTTGAACTGATCAATCTCTGAATACCTGTAAATCTCATATCACTAAGTTTATGGTCAGCATCCACAAAATGTCTGGCCACAGGAGAATGAATGTCCATCCTTCTAATAGAGCCCCTGTGCTCGTTGATGCAGGTCTTTAATTGACGATTAGTCTTGCAAATATATTGTAGACCACATGGGCATGAAATAAGATAAATAACAAAAGATGATGAACAAGTGATAGTCTCTCTAATTTTGAATGTTTTCTGAGTGGTGGTGCTATAGTGAAAGAATCCGTTTTAATTGCATTTTCACAAGCTGAATAAATACTGCATGGGAAGAAGCCAGTGGAATGATCCAAATTCTGATATTTGTTCTCCTTAATAAAGGTATCAGAACTGAATAGATGATCTCTTATGTTGCGTCCCCTATAATATGAAAAAAGGGGAGGCTCCTTGAAGATTTTATATCCAATATCATCAGCTCTCAGAACATGCCAGTGTTTATTGATGAGAGACTTTAATGTCTGACTATGAACAGTGAAAGTGGTATAGATTTTACCTTTTCAATTGCTTGCTTAAGCCATTTATCAGGATATCCTCTAAGAAGAAACTGTTTGTACATCTTTTCACATTCCACCTCAAAATCATCAGTTTGTGCAAATCCTCTTGATTCGAAGAAATTGACTGTAAGGGAGACCTTTCTTCAGAGGAATGTGATGGAAGCTTTTGGCATGAAGAGTGCTATTCCGATCCATAGGTTTTCTATACAGAGTTGTAAATAAAGTATTGCCATCAACACAAACATAAGTATCCAAGAAACTGCTCTTGTTCAAACTTGTTTCCATATTAAATTTGATTGTTGGAATAAGGTTGTTTAAAAGATCAACAAAACGGTCCAAATCATCATCATCTCCTGTCCAGATTAAAACAATTTATACATCAATATAACGTTTATAAAAAATAAGATAAGGCAAAAAAGGATTATTGTTGTAGATGAATTCCTGCTCCAAAAATGACATGAAACAGCATGCATAATCTGGTGCAAAAGTCGCTCCCATTGCTGTGCCATTCTTCTGCAGATATAACTTTTTATTGTATAAAAAATAGTTCTTAGTCAATACAAGTTCTGCCATATCAACAAGAAGTTGTGTGGAAGGTGGAAGGTCACTTCTTAAATCCAAAAAATGTCTCATTATGGCAAGACCCACAGAATGTGGAATATTAGTATACAAACTGACTACATCCAGAGTCACTAATTTTATGTTTCTGTCCACCTTCACTGATTTAAGCTGATCAATTAAGTCGCTTGTGTCTCTCAAATATGAAGGCTGTTCAGCAATTGATAGAGGTTCAGTGAGAGATCCTATACAACTGACGATTGGACGTCCTGGGGGATTTTGAAGTGTCTTGTGTACTTTAGGCAACACATACAAAACAGGCCGCACTGGATATTTGCATGTTAAGAACTGCAGTTCCGTTTCGGTAATCATTTGATTACTGATGTAAGAAATCCATCAATTTCTTTCTTAAAGGATTGAGTAGGATCCACATTCAACTTAACATAGAATTCATCATTATTAATTTGGAGTTGCACTTCCTGATCGTAAGATTCCCTGGGTATTAAAACAATGCCATCCCCTTTATCTGCAGGCTTAACCACAACTTTGTTCATTTTCTGCAGGGAATGGAGAGCTTGTAGTTCACCCTGGGTGCAGTTGGACACCAGTGGTCTTCTTTGGCGGAGAAGATAATCAATATCCCTCTCGACCAGTTTAACAAAGGTGTCAATCGATGCATTAGATGTAGGAGGGCAGAAGGTGCTCTTTGTTTTAAAAGGAGTATAAACCCTTCCTATTACAGGGGCTGTAGGGTTCTTGTCAAAATAGTACCTCAATTTTAAAGAACGAAAAAATGTATACAATTCCACTTTGAGTCTGAAAGGGTTCATATGTGTGGTAGGGACAAAAGATAACCCTTTGTTTAAAATATTCTCTTCAGACAGAACATGATCAGTGAGACTGAAAATTAAGCTCTCCGCTGTCCTTGTCTGGTGATCCTTTTCTTTATCTTTGCCCCTCCCCCGTCTGCCTCTACGGGTTTTCTTCTCCTTAGTGAATTCTTGGGTTCTCATCTCGCTTGTGATGCTTTGATGTGCGGACTTTTTTCAAGCTCTTCACCTTTGGGAAATCTTTTTTGGTCTACACACCTCAGTTGGATTTTTTTGAAGGTGCAGTGAGTCTCTGGCTGCTTCTCAGTCTAAAATATAAAACTCAACCCAGGCCTCAACCCAGAAATAACTTTATTTTCTGAAATATGTAATTTTCTGTAACATTTAATGTTTTGTTATCACTAGCAAAGCAAAATTGTTCATAGTTCGTTCATGTAAGTTTCATTTAGTTGTCTCTCACAGTACATTTCTGAATCTGACACAAAGACACTGAGGCGTCATAAACTCTGAATCCAGCATAGAGGGGTTCAGTGAATGTTCTGGTTCTCATCTCGCTTGTGATGCTTTGATGTGCGGACTTTTTTCAAGCTCTTCACCTTTGGGAAATCTTTTTTGGTCTACACACCTCAGTTGGATTTTTTTGAAGGTGCGGTGAGTCTCTGGCTGCTTCTTATTTGTTTAGACAACATTTTTTTTAATTCTATTTCAACTTAATTCAGAAATCACTGAAACACTGTTAACCAGTAAAGTATATTAATCTTGACATGAAAAGATATGTGCATAAAATAATCCAAATATTTTTTGGTTTTACAGACTCTATTGGAATCTGCTTTTAAGATCTTCCAGACAAAACAATGCTAATGCAAACAATCAAGAGTCTAAAATATAAAACTCAACCCAGGCCTCAACCCAGAAATCACTTTATTTTCTGAAATATGTAATTTTCTGTAACATTTAATGTTTTGTTATCACTAGCAAAGCAAAATTGTTCATAGTTCGTTCATGTAAGTTTCATTTAGTTGTCTCTCACAGTACATTTCTGAATCTGACACAAAGACACTGAGGCGTCATAAACTCTGAATCCAGCATAGAGGGGTTCAGTGAATGTGGTGTTGAATGTGTGTAAATGTGTTAGTGTGTGTGTGTCAGAGACACTGTAGAAGGACAGAGTGCCGGCCGGCCAGTCCAGATAGATACCTACTCTCTTAGAGTTGCATGAAGGGAGAGGTATGTCTCTGTTTTTGTTATTGTGCCAAGCACTGTATCTATCAGCAATACAGAAAACACACCAGGACATTTCATTATACCCAAATCTACTCTGAGTTCCTCCTTCCCGGCTGATTCCTTTATATGTCATTCCTATATAACTCCAGCCAGTCCATTCAGCCTCCCAGTAACAGCGTCCAGAGAAACTTTCTTTAGACAGAACCTGCTCATAGTGTTTAAATCTCTCTGGATGATCAGGATATGGCTGTATGTCTTCTTCATACGTCAGCTTCCTGTTGTCCTCAGACAGGAGGAGACGAATGTTTGCGGTGTTTGGATCCAGTGTGAAATCACCGACATCTAAACACAAGAATATAAGAACATTAATTCAATTCAATTCAATTCAAGTTTATTTGTATTGCACTTTTCACGATACAAATCATTGCAAAGCAACTTTACAGCAAATTAATTTTCTACAATATTTAGTGGTAGCTTATCAGTGGCGATTGTCAGTTAATGTACATATGGCAGAAATGTATGGACAAATCAATTAAAGACATAATCAATTAAAGACGAAATCAAACAGATAATGAACACTATTAACAGCAATTATTATGTTATATTATATTATATTAAATATTGCCATAGGGATGTGGGAGCTGAAATTCAAATGAATGAATATTGCTGCAGCTCTTGTGTTAGTGAATTTTAATTTCCTTTATTAAAATCCTAAAAGTTGTATATCCCTTTTTAATGTAAATGAATGAATTTTGGCATGTGTCTATAAAATTGTGGGTGGGAGGCATTAGAGAGTATCCCTTTAAAATACTATGTATTGTCTTCATGAGTATATTTTTGTCTCCCAGACATAACTTTAGGTTAAGATTCTTACAATGCTGACATGCTCACATCACTTCAAAAACTTAAAGGAGACATATTATGCCCCTTTTTACAATATGTAATATAAGTCTCTGGTGTCCCCAGAATGTGTCTGTGAAGTCTCAGCTCAAAATACTCCACAGATCATTTATTACAACATTTTTAAAATGCCTATTTTGAGTGGAAGCAGAAACACAGTTTTTCAGGCCTGTATCTTTAAATGCAAATGAGCTGCTGCTCCCCACCCCCTTTTCCAAAATAGAGCTGTGCCATTACAGCTCGGACCTGCTAAAAACATCTGATTTGGTTCTGATTATCATGTTTATCCCGCTGAAATCCGCTGAGTTTAAACTTCTGATATACGGTTTTCTGAGAGCACACATCCGAAGCACATGGACAGAAAGTGGCTGTAACAGCATGTGAGTACTACACTAAGTTCTCATTCACACACAAGTTTATGTTAAAATCACACGAGTTACAAAAACAGTAGATTATGTCTGTGAAGGTAAACTGCTGGGAAATAAATTGCATGTTTATTTTAGATCTGTGTGGCAGCAGCAATATACAGTAAATAAATCAATAAATCCACTGCTCTGTTGTCTCTGAGGCTGGGACTCTAAACAGTGTTCTGTGCTCGTCTGTGCAGCCAAAGACAGAACAGTTAGCATGTTTTGCTCAAACTTTCACCATGGCGTTAAAACTAGTACACCGTTGTCGTTTGTGAAATCAAAATGACGGCGCTGCGGGTGGAAACTTACAGATTAACGGGTGGTGATATTATAATGAGATCCCTTTGTCACGTCACTAGCGGAGCGAAATCAGACGCGCTCATTTTCTCAGACACTTGCAGAAAAAGGCTTACCAAAACAAAGTTACTGGGTTAATCTTTTTCACATTTTCTTGGTTGGCAGATGCACCGGGGACCTGATTATAGCACTTAAAAACTGGAAAATCAGATTTTCATGATATGTCACCTTTAAATAATTTGGTCAAGCTTACTTATTTTATGTATTAAAGAAGCCCCAATATGCCCTTATTCAAAGTCCTAATTTTGCTTTTGGGCTCTACTAGAATACAGGTGCATCTCAATAAATTAGAATGTCGTGGAAAAGTTAATTTATTTCAGTAATTCAACTCAAATTGTGAAACTCGTGTATTAAATACATTTAATGCACACAGACTGAAGTAGTTTACGTCTTTGGTTCTTTTAATTGTGATGATTTTGGCTCACATTTAACAAAAACCCACCAATTCACTATCTCAACAAATTAGAATATGGTGACATGCCAATCAGCTAATCAACTCAAAACACCTGCAAAGGTTTCCTGAGCCTTCAAAATGATCTCTCAGTTTGGTTCACTAGGCTACACAATCATGGGGAAGACTGCTGATCTGACAGTTGTCCAGAAGACAATCATTGACACCCTTCACAAGGAGGGTAAGCCACAAACATTCATTGCCAAATACGCTGGCTGTTCACAGAGTGCTGTATCCAAGCATGTTAACAGAAAGTTGAGTGGAAGGAAAAAGTGTGGAACCAACCGAGAGAACCACAGTTTTATGAGGATTGTCAAGCAAAATCGATTCAAGAATTTGAGTGAACTTCACAAGGAATGGACTGAGGCGGGGTTTATTTAATACACAAGTTTTACCATTTGAGTTGAATTACTGAAATAAATTAACTTTTCCACGACATTCTAATTTATTGAGATGCACCTGTACGGTTTTGTGCCTGGATGTTGAAAAAACTAAATTTTCCCCCATATTTGACATCATTGCAGCACCTCTCTTCCAAGTCTGTCAATCATGCTCTGTTTAGTTCCATTCTCTATGAAGCAACTTACTCTGAAAAATGCACTATGCTCTGATTGGTCAGCTGTACCATTGTATTGTCATCTGCTTTGAGCGTGTTTAGGAAATATCATGCCCCTTACCATAAGTGCGAGTTTTACTAATGCACTACTAAGGCAACTCAAGCAGGCCCCACTCGCCAATTTTGCATATGCCTTGGATGGGAATTATGTAAGCAAGGAATACTGTGATGTCTTCATTCCTAGAGGAAAACTCAAGACTACAAATGTTGGATTTCAGGGAGGTCAGAAACAATTCTTTCTGATATAGAGAATTACTCATTTTTGAAATGACTTCATGCTTTGTAACTTTGTAGACCATTTTGTCTGGTAAAAAGCAATAGGTCATATTTAAAGAAAATATAATACAATGGTGAGACATCCAATGACTGCTCAGCCAAATACAACAAACTCTAAGACTTTCAAGACTGAGAATATGAGTACCTTCACAGCTGGACCCATAAAACTCAACTCTATTAAATATGTGTACATTACTTACATTTCTGCAATCCTGGTGTGATCCGAAAATGTTCTCCATGGTCCAAACTACAGAAAAAAATGCACAAAACAGATAGCAAATATTTGTTTAATGTTTTAATTGCACATTTTAATTGCAAAATGTAAGAAAATCTGAGAAACATAAGACAAAGAAAATCTGCACATCCCTGTGACCCTAGTGGTGGTACGTTTAAATTACTTTAGGGAAACATTTGTCCTCAAAGAGAAAAAATGTACATATACAAATAAATAAATGTGTCATACTGAACATACTTGAGTATCTGCAGTTTATAGTTGGGATCCTCCAGTTTGTGTTTGAGCAGCTGGACTCCTGAGTGTCCTGGGTGATTGTAGCTCAGATCCAGTTCTCTCAGGTGTGAGGGGTTTGAAATCAGAGCTGAAGACAAATAACCACAGCCTTCCTCTGTCACCATACAGCCAGATAACCTACAGACACACACAGAGAGATCATCTACAGACACACATCAACATTATGACCGACTGACAGTACATCATCGTTCTTACACACCTCAGTATCTCCAGTTGACAGTTTGGACTCTTCAGTCCATCAGAGAGCAGCTTCACTCCTGAATCCTGCAGGTCATTGTTACTCAGATCCAGCTCTCTCAGGACAGAGTTTGAGGATTGTAGAGCTGATGACACAACTTCACAGTCCTGAGCAGTGAGATTACAGCCAGGAAAACTGAAAGGGAGTAAACTATTTTTATATAACTTTTCTTTATTAGAATAATTTTGAAAATGTATATATCCATAAGTTTCATCATTAAGTAGGTAACGTAGAAATCCTACAAATGTGTAAAAAAAAGTATATCACTTTAATATTCACAATGCTATTTAAAAAGGATAACATCAAAATAACAATTGGAAAATCATTGATATATTAACTGTAAAAAAGAATTAGTTGTAGCCCTAAATTGAACAATACTTTCCTGCTTAGTTGAGGTAAAGTTTCTTTCGAGTAAGGTTGTAGCTTTTCTGGCTAAATTTAAAGTAGCTTGACTAATGTTGGACATCACTCTGTAGAAACATTTATGATTTTTTTTATTTTTTTTTTGTAACAGAATAATTTAACACTCACAGTGCTTTTCTGCAGTTGATCACAGCTGGTATCAGTCTTCTTCTCCCCTCATCTGATGTGTTGTATTTCTTGAGGTCCAGCTCATCCAGCGGCTCCTCTGACATCTGAAGCATGTAGGCGATTGTTGAGCAGTGAGCCGGAGAGAGTTTCTTCTCTGAGTGTTTGTCTGATTTCACAAACTCCTGAATCTCTCTGAACAGAGTCTGATCTTTCACTTCCAGCAGACAGAGGAACAGATTGATGGATCTTTCAGTGGAGAGTCCATGTCCATCTTTGATCTTCTCTTTAATGTACTGTGTGGTTCTCCTGATGCTCTCTGAGCTATTCTCTGTGTGTGTCAGTAGATCCTGTAAGAGTCTCTGATTGGACTCTAGTGAGACGCCCAGCAGGAACCGCAGGAACAGATCCAGCTGGCCATTCTTACTCTCAAGGGCTTGCTCTACTGCAACTTTGAGCAAATGTTGTACTAAAGCAAAATTCCTCAGTCCCTGCATAGTTGTACTCACATGAAAGTAAAACACATAGAAAGCAGCGAGAAACTCCTGAACACTCAGATGAATGAAGCTGTAGACTTTCTTCTGATGAATCACAGATTCCTGCTTAAAGATCTCAGTGCAAATCCCAGAATACACTGAGGCATCAGTGACGTCTATGCTGCTCTCAATCAGGTCCTCCTCATAGAACATCACATTGCCCTTCATCAGCTGTTTGAAAGCCACTTCAGCAAGTTTCACAATCACTTCTCTGTTGGACTGCAGGAGTTTCTCTGGATCTCTCTCTTCATACTTCTGCTTCCTCATGTTGATCTGAATCAGCAGGAAGTGGATGTACATTTCAGTCAGAGTTTGAGGGATTTCTGCACTCAGATCTTCTTCCAGGAGCTTCTGAAGCACAGTGGATGAGATCCAGCAGAAGACGGGGATGTGGCACATGATGTGGAGGCTTCTTGCTCTTCTGATGTGTGAGATGATTCTGCTGGCTTGATGCTGGTCACTGATTCTCTTCCTGAAATATTCCTCCTTCTGAGGCTCATTGAATCCCTGAATTTCTGTCAGACGGTTGATGTATTTGGAGGGAATCTGATTGGCTGCTGCTGGTCTGGAGGTGATCCAGATGAGAGCAGAGGGAAGCAGCTCTCCTTTCATGAGGTTTGACATCAACACACCTACTGATGAAGTCTCAGTCACATCACACACTTTCTGAGCGTCTGAAAACATCAGTGTGATTCTGTTTTCATCCAGACCATCAAAGATGAACACAACTTTACACTCCTCATAAATCTGTGAGTCCAGATCTTGAAGTTCAGGATGAAAGTCCAGCAGAAGTCTGTGAAGACTATACTGATGATCTCGGATCAAGTTCAGCTCTCGAAATGGAAGCACAAACATGAAATCTACATCCTGATTGGCTTTCCCCTCTGCCCAGTCCAGAATGAACTTCTGCACGGAGACGGTTTTTCCAATTCCTGCGATGCCTTTAGTAAGAACAGTCTTGATCTGCTCTTTCTCCTCACATCCTGGTTCAGCTGAGGCTTTAAAGATGTCGTTGCAGTAGATTTGAGTTTTTTGTGAGTGTTTTATTCTGGCTGTTTTCTCCATCTGTAAAACCTCATGTTCTTCATTCACTCCTTCACTCTCTCCCTCTATGATGTAGAGCTGTGCATAGATCCTGTTCAGGAGGGTTTCATTCTCTTGGATACTGTTTCCCTCAAATAATCTTTCAAACTTGTTATTCATGCTGGTTTTGTGGTGGACTTTGATTTTCTGCAGGTCTCCAGTCTCCAGTGTGTGTGTCTGCAGGACTGTTTCAGTTCTTTCCTGTCTGATGTTGGTCTGATAGTGGGTTGTAGAGGACAGCACAAATCTGATTGGCTCACATTTATCCACCCTGCTGAAACTACAAAGAAAAGAGCAAAAAAAGGGAACTGCAACCAGTTTCTGGAAAATGTTTAGTGTTATTTCATTGAGTTCCTAAAATAATTATTAATCTGAGATGCACTACAGTAAATCAGAAAGTAAATCATTTATACTAACGGAGGATCAGAGATCACTGGTCCATCAGTGAAGTCAAGGGGTGGCATCATGGATGTGTTACTCTTCAGAGATACACTGCTGGGCTCTGGGGACTCTGATCTCTGGCTCTTTTTCCCGATGATACTGACAAAAGCCAAACAAAAATCAATTTAAACCTATCTGCTGTTTGCCAGTCTCCATGTCTATAGCATGAATGCACCCTTGATTACATTTACTTAAAGGGCATTTGCTTTAAAATAAGATTTAATTCAAAGTTGTTTACAAATAAAAAATACAGCAAACCGATTCAGTGACTGAAGATGTGTTGTAACAAGATTGTTCAGAGGATTATGAAATTAAATGAATACATTCTAATAGTATAATCATGTAATATACTGTATCTAATAATAAATGTATGGAGAATCTATAAGTTAACAGTAACAGTGAAGGATCTGGAAAGGGATTTTGTGCCACTTTGTGATGAGATGCCCCTCACTCATCGACAAAGTCATAGAGGCCAGCTCGGGCTTGAGGAGTGGCTAAGAACAAAGGCAGAGTTTTTCCGCGTCTGGAGAGCATCAGTGCCGTGGATTATTTCATATTGTTAACAGCTATAACACCAGCATTAAAGAGTTTTAAAATAAAATCATAGGCTACAGGCTATCACAATCGTGTATTTATTTAGTAACATTTTATCTGTCAGTAAGTCTTGTCTCTTTTTACCTGAATGTCTGATGTTCATATTTAGCTCCACATATACGTCATAAAATAATCATAGATTTTGTTCGGGAGCTCCCTCTGCTACTCAGGTTGTATTTTTGATGGAAAAAATAATATAAATTATTCTTTCTAAATGTGATGTATACTGTGACTAATAAACAGAAACAGACATGACTGTATAAGTATGTGTGCCCTCTTTCTTTTGTGAAATAAATGTAAATTCCACTTTATTTCTGTGTGACTAATTTTCAATCCTGACAAATTAATTAATTATGGTCAATGTATCACTTATTGTAAAGCTGGTAAAACAACAGTGCTTTTGGATTTAAATCTTTAAGTAAACAACTTAAAAGTATTTGTGCTACAAGATGGCGCTGCACATGGCAGCCTCAGTTTGTTGTTCCTTGGTACTTGTACTATGTTTGTTTGTTTGTCCTGTCTTAAGCAACTTTTTCCGATCAGCTTTACAAGAAGCGAACTCCTGGACATCAGAAATAGCACACAAAATAACGTTTTGCCAACATTTGAGCATTCAGAAATTTTTCTGGACATTTTAGTCAGAGGAGTTGTGTTCCTATATAAGCGCTCCAGGCAACACAAATGAGGGAAGCGCGCTGGTGCGCTCGTGAAATTCAGACAGCACAGTTTTAGGACTCCGCTGCCGAGCATTCATCTGGCAAATCTCCGCTCCCTAGCAAATAAATCAGACGAACTACAACTCATCACCCACACAAACAAGGACTTTCTAAACTCTGCTGCATTTTGCTTCATGGAAACCTGGCTGAACAGGGCCATCCCGGACAGCGCGCTACATCTAACGTGCTTCTAGCTGTTCAGAGCGGACTGCGTCACCGAGTTGTCTGGGAAAACGAGAGGTGGTGGATTATGGTTTTATATCAATGAAGGCTGGTGTACATCATGACAGTTTTAAAGAAGATTTTCTGCCCAAATATGGAAGCTCTCTTTATTAACTGTAAGCCTTATTATTCACCACAGGCGTTTTCCTCATTTATTCTGGTGACTGTGTACATTCCTCCTGATGCGCATGTGAGCGCTGTGCTAGAACTGTTGGCTGATCAGATCACATACACAGAGCAGCGTTATCCAGATTATTTTATTATCATTCTCTGTGATTTTAATAAAGCTAATCCCACCCGTGAACTGCCTAAATAAAGACAGCACATCGCATGCCCCACCTGGGACAGCAATTTACTGGACCTACACTGTTTTGAATTATGCATACCACTCTGTCCCCCGAGCAGCTCTGGAAATCTCTGATCACTGTTTGGTTCAGCTTCTACCGGCCTACAAGCAGAAACTTAAATAGGCTAAGCCTGTAGTAAAAACTGTTAAGAGATGGACTATTGACACAGAGCAAGATTTACAGGCCTGCTTCGACTGGACTGATTGGAGTGGTTTTGAGGCTGCAGCTACTGATCTGGATGAGCTCACTGACACTGTGACGTCCTACATTAGTTTCTGTGAGGACATGCGTGTTCCCACCAGGACTTTAACATTTAACAAAGACAAACCTTGGGGTTCGGTGCAAAACTCAAACCAAAGAGGACGCCTACAGGAGCGGGGACAAAGCCATGTACAAACAGGCCAAATACACACTAAATAGGGAGATAAGAGTGGCAAAGAAAAACTACTCTGAAAAGCTGGAACAGCTGAACAGCTCCCGAACAACAACCCTACATCAGTGTGGAAAGGCCTGAAAGCCATCAGCAGCTACAAGACCCCATCCCCCAGCACTGAGGCCAATCAACAACTGTCTGAAGATCTGAACGAGTTCTACTGCAGGTTTGAAAAGCAAAAGCCTGGTGTGACACCCCACACCCGCTCCGACCATCTCACAACACAGCCATCAACACCCTCCCCCTCCCTCCCCCTACTGTTTCTCAGCATGTACTCAAGGTGATGTACGCAAAGTCTTCAGCAAACGGAAGATAAGGAAAGCCAAAGGCCCAGACAGTGTCTCTCCCCTCTGCCTCAAAGCCTGTGCTGTCCAGCTATCATCCATCTTTACATTGATCTTCAACAGATCACTGGAGCTGTATGAAGTCCCTTCCTGCTTCAAACGCTCCACCATCATCCCTGTACACAAGACACCAAAATCACAGGACTAAATGACTACAGACCTGTTGCTTTAACGTCTGTGGTCATGAAGTCATTTGAGAGGCTGGTGCTGGCCTACTTGAAGGACATTACTGGCCCCTTGCGGCACCCCCTGCACTTTGCTTAACGAGCAACCAGGTCTGTGGATGATGCAGTCAATATGGGACTGCACTACATCCTCCAATATCTGGACAAACCAGGGACTTATGCTAGGATCCTATTTTGACTTCAGCTCTGCTTTCAACACCATCATCCCAGATACCCTTCTGAATAAACTGACCCAGCTCTCTGTACCCACCTCCATCTGTCAGTGGGTCACCAGCTTCCTGACAGACAGGCAGCAGCTAGAGTGGCTGGGAAGTTTCACATCCAACAGCCGCACCATCAGTACTGGAGATCCTCACGGTTGTGTTCTCTACCCACTGCTTTTCTCCCTCTACACAAATGACTGCACCTCTAAAGACCCCTCTGTCAAACTCCTGAAGTTTGCAGATGACACTACAATCATCGGCCTCATCCAGGATGGTGACGAGTCTGTTTACAGACAAGTGATTCAGCAGCTGGCTGTCTGGTGCAGTCACAACAACCTGTAGCTGAACACTCTCAAAACTGTAGAGATGATAGTAAACTTCAGGAGAAACCCTCCTGCACTTCCCCCACTCACCATCATGAACAGCACTGTGACTGCAGTGGAGTCATTCAGATACCTGGGAACCACCATCACTCAGGACCTGAAGTGGGACACTCACATTGACTCCATCGGGAAAAAGGCCCAGCAGAGGTTGTACTTCCTTCGTCAGCTGAAAACGTTCAACCTGCCACAATCGCAGATGACACAGTTTTACTCAGCTGTTATTGAGTCGGTTCTGTACTCCTCTATAACTGTCTGGTTTGGGTCAGCCAGCAAATCAGATACAAGATGACTGCAACTGACTGTTAGGATAGCAGAAAGAATCATTGGTGTGCACCTGCCCAGCCTTCAGGATTTGTGCAACTCCAGAGTGAAGAAATGGGCAGGTAACATCATCAAAGACCCCTCTCACCCCGAACACAACCTGTTTGCACTTCTCCCCTCAGGCAGACGCTACAGATCTCTGTGCACTAGAACATCTAGGCATAAAAACCCCCAATTTTATGCCTAGATGTTTTTTTCCCCCAATGCCATCTCCAGCTTAAACAGCTAACACGGTAATCATTACCTGTGTTCTGTAATTAATTTCTGTAATTCATTCTACATCTTTAATTATTGCCTCTTTCTCAAGTATTATGTAAATACAAACACATCTCTTTATTTATACAACTGTATATACAGTAGAGTAAATAATGCACAAATCGGTACATAAATCTACTCTTCCAGATTCATACACATTATTATTATTTATTGTTAAGTCTTACTATTTAAATGTTTTCTGTTCTCATGTCAGATATGTATGCATGTGTGTACCGAGAGCACCTTAAAAAACACAACAAATTCCTTGTGTGTCTGCGCACAGTTGTCGAATTAAGCTAATTCTGATTCTGATTCTGAAAAATGCAAACAAACATGGCCGATTATGTTTGTTTTGGGATCTTGCTAGTTCCAATTATTATTTTTTTAATTCGTTTTCCAACAACTTCTCTTTGTTGGTGAAATGATGGGGTTGCGTGACGTTGTTCCAGAGAGGCGTGTAAAGGGCAGGTTATAGTGAAGTGCTGATATTAGAAATTATACAGAATAATATATTGTGTAAATATATTACAATATATTGAATAATACATAAGGAATTGCTGCTTTTCATATATTGAAAAATATGTGACAATATATTTACGTATATATCACAATATATGTCATCTTATATTCAGCAAAACACTTTATAATATATAGATGAACATATGATAAGATACGGTACTGCATGTGTAAAAATATATTGAACATATTTTCATGCAATATATACACTCTCACATGGAATTATATATTTCATATGATTAACAATTATTTATGATATATAAGATTCATATTTATAATATAGCTAGCTTATAATAGCATATGCACACCTGCTCAAAATAAAGCTTTTATTGAACAAAATATCACTTTGCTGAATAATGCACTACCATTACTATTAGGGATGGGCGTATCGATACTGACGCGAGTATCGAAAGTATCGATACTCAAACAAAAAATATCGATACTAAGGTGCGGTTTTTTTACAAGTGGTTTTGTTTATATAACAAAAATAATAATAATAATAATGCGTACAATATGCATTGAATTGGACGAATAACCTTTGTTAGCGAGTAATTGTGTAGGATAGAACTATTTTCCTGCTCATCTGGACACGCAAATGTTGCAAGACAGAACCAATCAATCACAGAGAGCATTCACTCACTGCTGACAGTGCATTCAAACAGGGCTGCGTCTCCTAAAAGTATCATAAGAAAGAAACAATGCTTATCAGAGGACAGAGAAAAAAAAATAAATGTTTGAGTTCTTTCACAATAAACAAATTGAAATTGTAGCCTACATAGTTTGTGCGATTGCAATTATTTAAATTGAACGTTGAAAGATAATACTGATCATGTTCTATTCGGTAATGTTAATAGAAATCATACACTGTCAGAATAAAAAGGTTGCGTTTTATGCATGCAACAGCCAGTCACTGGCAGTCCCTTATGGCAGTACAAAACATTGCACTAAATCAAAAGTTCAAATGTTACAAATAAGTTAGAATATTAATGTTGTAATACTGGTAGCACTAATATAAACATGTGATGATATATGCTACAAAAAAGTAACAATTTTGAAATACGTTGATGGTTGTATTTTTTTGTATTTGATCTCAGTATTCCTGAGATTATTTATGCATAATAGTAACCCTAGAATGTGATCAAACAGTTTAAAATAGCTGGGCTAAGATATATAACAATTTTTAAGACTGCAGAAATATGTTAATTCAGTATACACATTATCCCACCGGTTACAATTGTGACTGACCATAAAATAAAAATTTTCACACACTTTTCAAAAATTGAATTGATTATTTCAAAGGGTTACTAATGACACATCATTTGGATAGTTTCATGTCTGGGAAAAATTGGGATTAAACGGGTTAAAATGCGTTTTTAACATAAAGTTAAGTGGTTTTCATTACCTATTTTACTCTTAGTAATTTAATAATGTGATCAATTTCATCATTTAAAAGTTTAGTGCAGAAGTATCGATTCGGTATCAACAATACTGCCTTGAAATTTATCAGTATTGTATCGAAAACTCAATAAGTGGTATCACCCATCCCTAATTACTATTACAATGAAGTTAAATATATAATTTAACGTCTTCCTGACCACAGACTCTACTCTTCTGCACAGTGGTAACCCCACCAACTTACACACACCAGAAACACTTTTACATTTCAAAATAATACGACATTAAACACTAACAGATATCCCCCTATATTAATATTGAGCAAAAACACATGAAATAACACTTCATTTGAACATTTTTACTCTCGTTTAACAGTCAGAAGCAAAGCATGCTGGGAACTAGAAATGTGCTTTAACTCATTGCGTGAATGTGTGTATGTGTGTACATACATTCACATTTATATGGGAACATCTATGTGCAATACATACGCAATAAAGGATCAAACAATGAATATTTATGTTTGTCTTCATTTCTAAATATATTTGTATGTATCAATATATAGCTATATATTGTAAATGCATATATTGTTGTATATTGAAACATATAAGCATTAGTTTCCAATATATGGAAATGTATTATGTAATATATCACATTATATTTTACAGTGTATTCCCATATAGTTTTGTTGCGTAAGGGATTGTAAATCACTGTGGATTAAAGCATCTGCCAGATATTAAAACGGCAACTGTTTTACCTGGGGTCAGAGGTCAGTGTTGCATCATTGAAGGCAGAGGGCACATTCTTCATGGGTTGATCACAGCTTGATCCAGGAGATGGAGAATGTATTTTAGAGACAGTGTCCTCATCTTCTTTCTCTTCACAAAGACTCATTTTGGATGCAGCGTCCTCCTCCTTTCTTAAAAATAATATTGAGAGATTGATTGACCTTAGATTGTCAAAAACAATTAAGAAATAGACTGAAATGCAAACAGAGAAGGGTGTAGCTCCATGAGGGTGGTGACAGAATTTTCATTTTTGGTTGTAATATCCATTTAAGTAGTACACTGCAAAATACTCCTATGCACACAGTCTGCTGTAGAATAATTGCAGGACAGCTTAAGATAAGTGAAGTTTACATGAGTGCAAACATAATGAATTGCAGTACTTTTAGCGTATTATAGCTAAAGTTCATTGCAAGTCAAGTTAATCTCAATACAGCACAAATGTAGATCAGCCAAGATAAGCTCATTTTAAACTAGTGCTGTTAAAGGATTAATCACGATTAATCGCATTCAAAATAAACGTTTTTGTTTACATAAAATACAATTATGTGTACAGTGTATATTTATTGTGTATATATAAATACAAACACATTCATGTATATATTTAAGAAAAATATGTTATATTTATATATTAAATATATTTATATAATATCAAATATAATAATTTAAATATAAATGTATATACATGTAAATATTTTCAATATGTGTGTGTGTGTGTGTGTGTATTTATATATACATAATAAATAAACACAGCACACATACACATATTATGTAAATAAAAACTTTTACTTTGGATGTGATTAATCGTGATTAATCATTTGACAGCACTATTAATTTAAACAAACGTTTTAAACACAACTTTCAGATATGTGTTATATTGAGGTACATTCATATAATTTCTTACTGTTTACAGCTTTAAAGCCTGATTTTAGACTAAGCCAGGATTAGGCCATAGTTCAACTAGGACATTTAAATCATTTTTATTAACGTGCCTTAGAAAAAAAACATTAATGGTGTGCATCTTGAGACAAAACAAAGGCACTGAAGATCAGTCAGTGCAAGTTTCTTTTTTTTTAGTCTAGGCTTAAGCCTTGTCTGTGAAACCGGGGGTAAATCTCTCAAGAACTGAAAATCTGGGCCCATTAAATAATGTATATATAGTTTTACCGTTTACGTACTGTTAAGGTCATCTGGATGCAGCAGAAGTGTGATATTCATCACTGCTTCTTTTTTTTTTTTGGCGAGGCTGCAGAATGAATTTCATTATATTTTTTCAGCAATTTTTTAAGACAATCGCGACGCGTTGTTTTGTGTTTGTGCATCAAAATAAATAACTATTGGTTCATGAATATTGTTTCTGATTACTGAACTTATAACAATGCCCCTGAGAAGAGTCACGATAGACAAACATCTACACATATCAAACATTTTCCATAGCTCTCAGTCTATAATATTTAATAATGTTATATGCACCATGTGATATACAGCCAGAGTAAATCTGAATGCATATTAAAATTATTTACTTTTTGATTGAATTTAATTGTCGATGTTTTGCCATTTTTGTTCATAGCTGTTAAGATCGAAATATAATGATCCAGGTTTGAAATCCCATTTAAGGATGGCTAAAAAAAATGCACTTTATTTTATGACTACATGGTTACATTAAGAAAACGTTCCTTACTTACCATAAAACTGGCGTCCGTTTAATTCCCAGTGTTAACTTGTGTTCCTCGAAAAGGCCTCTCTGTCATCTTCTTTCACTTTTGTTTTTAGCTGGGCTCATATGAAGGACACTCGCGCTCTCTCTAGCGGCGCAGAGCAGCAGCACATTCTCATCTGAGACTCACAGCAGCTGTGCTGTTAACAAGCTGCTTTAGGTGACTGAAAATGATCATTAAACTAAACAGGGGAACTAGATATCAGAAGAGCTGTGGCTTAATCATCTAGGATCATTGAAATCAGAACTAACAATGACTCTGCATAACCAAACAGGGACAGTCAGTGTTACTCGTATTTACTCAGTAAATATGAAATCATTTTAATGACACCTGTGGCATATGTAGTTATGTAAAAAGACAGCTGAAATAACATACAGTACATATACAAAACATACAAAGACATGTTAAAACACACAAAACTATTTGCAAAATGACATCAGTGGATTATAACAGCAAAATAGTTTGAGGTTTGTATTGTAATGCATTGTTCTTTGAACCCAGTGAAAATGCAGTGACTTTTTTTGTTTTGTCTTTATTTAACTGAAGCCAAAACATGCAACTATTAATTTTATCATTACACTGGCATATGTGTGCACATGGAATCTACCGAAAAACTCAAATCAAACTTATTAAACTTACCAAATGAGTGTTAGTAAATTGTGTTTCTCATGTAATAGAGTGCATGGTGAATATTAACATTAAGCATTTACCACATTAAACCATGCAATGGTTCCGACATCTAATTCCCATGATGACTTTAATTTCCGGAAGAAAAAAAGTGTTAAGTTGCATTCATACTCGTTGTTCTGCTCTGAGAATGTAATGCTGCTCTGAGTCACCAGAGGGATTGTGATTGACCGTCGTATGAGCTTCAAAGACGAAAGTGAAAGAAGAGAAAATACGAGACGCCATTTCAAGTCGAACAAGCAACATTATTCACTTTATCCAAACAGCTTTAAGTTTTGTGGTAAGCAAGTTACTTCTTCTTCATGTAACCATGTATTCATAAAGTAAGTGCATTTTTTATTTTTATTTTGGTTTTCCTCAAATGGGATTTCAACCCTGGGTTATATTTCGACATCTTAACTGCTCTGAAAAAAATGGCAAATAGCATTAACAATTAACTTAAAAGTAAGTTATCTTGATATACAGTCAGACATACTCTGGCCGTATACAATTATTAAATATTTGCCTACAGACTGGAAGTCATGAGCAAATGTTTAATATGCTGACATGTCTAGATGTTTCTCTACCGTGACTCTTTTAAATGCACAGGGATGGCGTTATTGTAAGTAATCAGAAACAGTCTACATGGACCAATGATTATTGAATGTTGCACAAAAACAAAAAAAAGGGGTCACGTGCTTAGGGCCTTTAACTGTAACAAAAGTGATACATTCAGCAACACCGCAAAACAGCAGCAATGATAATCACACTTCTGCTGCATCTGAATTACCACAGCAGTACGTAAACAGCAATAGATTTAAAGCTGAAACAACACTTCAAAATAGTACAATTGAACATATTTTTATATGTAAAGTGTATTATGGCATCAAAGAAAGCCCTAGTTTTTTCAGGACTTACATTTTTGCTTGTTTTGTCTTTTTGCTTGCAAAATCATGTTTCATATATAGCTGGCTGCCAACCTCACAATTGATCCAACCCGATCTCATGAAAGTGTGTATCAATAGTACGAGTTTATGTTTCGATTTGGTGTACTATGTATATGCATAAATTGACTTTAGCATGCATATGATACACAGTGGTTAGAATCAGGTGTGTGGGGTAGATGCGTGTCATATGTACGCGAAAACTGCGTATCAAATGTACGCCAACAAATTACGTATCATATGCACGCCAAACATGTGCATATCATATGCATGCCAAAGTGAATATAGCACGATTTTCTGTTTGTATGTGGCATACTATTTATATGCATTTTCATGAGACCTGGCTCGACTGATGCTAATTATGGCATGACACTTGAGCTTTGAGAAGATTCGCTCCGCCAATGCCACTGTCAATGGTACATGAAATGCTGTGAAAAGCTACCCAAAGGTTTGGGTACAGATCACATATAGCTTTATCATGCAGGAATGCAAGTAGTTCCAGTGCTGTCAGTTTGCTTTAGGGAAAGTTATCAAGCTTTCTAATTCCATGGCAATGCCTTTACAATCAACATTAGACTAATTTCTAGTGTTCAGTGTTCTTCCAAGCTGATAACATTGATACCTTATTGTCTGAACATCAAGATTTTGACAATTATTTGTACTCCAAAATTGTCTCTCACATTACCCAGGGAGCTGAAATGGTCCTCAAGAATTTGGATTGCATAATCCACCACAAGAATAAAGATTGACACTTCCATTCTTTTTGGGGCACTGGGCTCTGGCTCATCAGCTGCTTCATAAGTGTCTCTTTGTGGTTTGCAGCCTCTTCTCCTTAAGCACTGCTTGGACATTCATTTCCTCACAATTTTCTGTTGCTACCTTGACTGCTATGGGATTACATCTCTGCCACAATTCTGCATTTTGGACGCGCGAACTGAGTTTGGTGGAGAAAATATTTGTCTCGCAAAGAAGAAACTCTTTTTTCAACAAAGCCCAGCGTTATAATATGCCATAATTCAAGTCAATCAAAGATGAGGCTGCTCAATTCTGATTGGCTGCCTTGACAACCAATCACAACATTCCTTGCATTACCTCGACAGCAGAAGAGTAAAAATACAGTGCATGCATAATTATTATGCAAGTTGATATTCTGATCATGTTTTTCCCAAGCACATTTTACCAATTCCAAACGACATCAGTCTTAATAACTACTATTAATCTTGTATTTAATCGTTTATAATTGATATATACACTGAACAAAATTATAAACGCAACACTTTTGTTTACATTTTAGAGTGGCCTTTTATTGTGGCCAGCCTAAGGCACACCTGTGCAATAATCATGCTGTCTAATCAGCATCTTGATATGCCACACCTGTGAGGTGGATGGATTATCTCGGCAAAGAAGAAGTGCTCACTAACACAGATTTAGACAGATTTGTGAACAATATTTGAGAGAAATAGGCCTTTTGTGTACATAGAAAAAGTCTTAGATCTATGAGATCAGCTCATGAAAAATGGGGGCAAAAACAAAAGTGTTGCGTTTATAATTTTGTTCAGTGTAATTCTTCATGAAGGCTGGAAGTGAAAAATTTCTTATATTCAGGTGTGCATGATTATTAAGCAGATTTTCTTTTACCGATAAAATGAGCCAAAAAAGAGATTTAACTCAGACTGAAAGTAAAAAATTATTAAATGCCCATGAGAAATATTCAAAACTAATGCAATACTAGAAATTGCAAAGTTAATTGTAAAAGTTGCATTGGACAGCAAAATGCTCAGTGGGTCAATAGGGTCAGTCAAAAACATGTGGATAAGAAAAGATGCATGTTAACTGCAAAAGAATGAGAAATTAAGGTGAAGAATTATGTGTGAATTGGAGATCTCCAGGCTGCAGTTATACCCTTGTACTGTATTTTCCCTCTTCCGCTGTCATCAGCAATGCAAGGAATGTTCTGATTGGTTGTCAAGACAGCCAATCAGAATTTAGCAGCCTCATCTTCGATTGGCTTGAATTATGGCATATTGTAATGCTGGGTTGTGTTGAGCAAGCCACCCATCGGCATTTAGAGAGCACTGAGGGCGGGCATCAAGAGAGCAAGCTAGTGAAACATTGCACGTGCAAAAGAGAAGGTCTGCACACATCCAAAAACGTATCTTAAATGCAAAATTGATTTTAGTGTGCTCTAAATACTTTTTTCTTTGAGAAACGAACATTTTAACCCTATAGACTGCATCATTAAAGCTGATTTCACTGTAGGGTGAGGTAGTGACAACAGATAAGCCGGAAGCAGAGGTGGCGAGAGCAAGACAAAAGGAGGCTGAAGCAGGGGAAACCCTGTCATGTGAGGTAGTGGCAGCTGCTGCATGGATCCCCACTGTTATGATCCAAATGAAACATATGCGCAGAACTGATGGTTTCGATTTCTCCTATACCAATTTTCAACATAGAACAATGTTATGAACCAAATGGACCAGTGGTACAGTACTTTACAACCAAATATAGATGTTGAATTGATGTCTGCTTACTGGATATAACAAATATCTGAACATTGTGTTGTGTCAATGTAAACATTGACAAATATTTGAGAAAACTCAAATTAAAATGTTCATTATAGTTGCTAGCAAGTGCTGTTTAGTTCAGTTTGAAAAGTTGCAGTAACTGCAAATGCGGTTCTACTTATGTCTACTTACATGTGGCCAAATATGGTGTCCCATACTCAGAATTTGTGCTCTGCATTTAACTCATCCAAGTGTACACACACATCAGCGAGTAGTGAACACACACACACACACACACACACACTGTGATCACACACTTAGAGCAGTGGGCAGCCATTTTGCTGCGGCGCCCGGGGAGCAACTGGGGTCCAGTACCTTGCTCAAGGGCACTTCAAAAATGATCTGGGCTTATCTGCAATTGTGCTGTATTGAGGTGAACTTGTCTTGCAGTGAACTTTAGCTTAAAGTACATTGATTCATTACATTTGTACTTGTATTCTAATTAATTAATATATTTATATTATGGGAAATGTAAATAAACGGCATACATCTTGAGCTGTGTTGCAGTTATACAAGAGTAGATTGTGTGCATAGGAGTATATGTAGCTGTACTACAGAGCATTAAAGAGATAATTCACCCAAAAATGAAAATTCTGTGATCATTTACTCACCCTACATCCTGCTTTGTATGCTTTCTGTCTATTTCATTTCTTTTTCTTTTTGACATTTTGTTTTTATTTCAACAAAAAAGGTCAATCAATCTCCAAAAATGAGTTTCTGTGAAGAAAAAGAAGATGAAGACACTGCCGCCAAAATGAGTTTTCCTGAATCAAGCTGCAATCAACCCATAGAGAATTTGCCCTCTGCCTTCAGTGATGCAGTAGAGACCTCTGACCCCAGGTAAAACGCATTTTAGCATTTGGCAGTTGCTTTTATCCAAAGTGACTTGCAGTGAATTCCAGAAGCCTGTGGTCGGTGAGTGAGTAACGTTTCATCACAAAGTCGCAAAAATCACTTTACAGAACTTTCATTGTTATTGTCCCTGTTAAATATTATCCATACATGTATCATTTATTTTTGCATTTCATTAACAATTTTATTACAGCACTTCTCGTGTCACTGAATCTATTTGTTGTACTGCTGATTTGTAAATTGCTTTGGATAACAGTTTCTTCTAAATTAATACATTTAAATCAAGGTTGCATTCAAGCTATAGACATGGAGATTGACAAACATATTGATAAAAAGAGGTTTAAAATGCTGTTTGGCTTGTCTGTTGTCAGCATCAGCAGAAGGAAGAGAAAGCGAGTCCTGCAGAAACAAACGCTGGAGGCGAGAGACCTGCAGAGAGTCAAAGATCAACACAAAACCAGCATGAAGAACAAGTATGAGATATTATTTGAGGGAATCAAACTCCAAGAGAATCAAATCCTACTCAACAGTATCTACACACAGCTCTACATCATAGAGGGAGAGAGTGAAGGAGTGAATAAAGAACATGAGGTTTTACAGATGGAGAAAACAGCCAGAACACAACACTCACAAGACACTCCAATTTACTGCAATGACATCTTTAAAGCCTCAATTGAAGCAGGATCTGAAGAGAAAGAGCAGATCAAGACTGTTCTTACTAAAGGCATGGCTGGAATCGGAAAAACTGTCTCCGTGCAGAAGTTAATTCTGGACTGGGCTGAGGGAAAAGCCAATCAGGATGTAGACTTTATGTTTGTGCTTCCATTTCGAGAGCTGAACTTGATCCGAGATCATCAGTACAGTCTTCACAGACTTCTGCTGGACTTTCATCCTGAACTTCAAGATCTGGACTCACAGATTTATGAGGAGTGTAAAGTTGTGTTCATCTTTGATGGTCTGGATGAAAGCAGAATCACACTGATGTTTTCAGACGATCAGAAAGTTTGTGATGTAACTGAGACTTCATCAGTGGCTGTGTTGATGTCAAATCTCATGAAAGGAGAGCTGCTTCCTTCTGCTCTCATCTGGATCACCTCCAGACCAGCAGCAGCCAATCAGATCCCCTCCAAATACATCAACCGTCTGACAGAAATTCAGGGATTCAATGAGCCTCAGAAGGAGGAATATTTCAGGAAGAGAATCAGTGACCAGCATCAAGTCAGCAGAATCATCTCGCACATCAGAAGAGCAAGAAGCCTCCACATCATGTGTCACATCCCCGTCTTCTGCTGGATCTCATCCACTGTGCTTCAGAAGTTCCTGGAAGAAGATCTGAGTGCAGAAATCCCTCAAACTCTGACTGAAATGTACATCCACTTCCTGCTGATTCAGATCAACATGAGGAACCAGAAGTATGAAGAGAGAGATCCAGAGGAACTACTGCAGTCCAACAGAGAAGTGATTGTGAAACTTGCTGAAGTGGCTTTCAAACAGCTGAGGAAGGGCAATGTGATGTTCTATGAAGAGGACCTGATTGAGAGCGGCATAGACGTCATTGATGCCTCAGTGTATTCTGGGATTTGCACTGAGATCTTTAAGCAGCAATCTGTTATTCATCAGAAGAAAGTTTACAGCTTCATTCATTTGAGCGTTCAGGAGTTTCTCGCTGCCTTCTATGTGTTTTACTATTACAATAGACAAACATCTGTCACATCTAAGTTTTTTGATTTAATGTATAGTTTACTGGAAGGTGCAGTAGATCAAGCCCTTGAGAGTGAGAATGGTCATCTGGATCTGTTCCTGCGGTTCCTGCTGGGCGTCTCACTGGAGTCCAATCAGAGACTCTTACAGGATCTACTGACACACACAGAGAACAGCTCAGAGAGCATCAGGAGAACCACACAGTACATTAAAGAGAAGATCAAAGATGGACATGGACTCTCCACTGAAAGATCCATCAATCTGTTCCTCTGTCTGCTGGAAGTGAAAGATCAGACTCTGTCCAGAGAGATTCAGGAGTTTGTGAAATCAGACAAACACTCAGAGAAGAAATTCTCTCCTGCTCACTGCTCAACAATCGCCTACATGCTTCAAATGTTAGAGGAGGTGCTGGATGAGCTGGACCTCAAGAAATACAACACATCAGATGAGGGGAGAAGAAGACTGATACCAGCTGTGAGCAACTGCATAAAAGCTCTGTGAGTGTTTAATAATGTCTTAATTTCAGTTAAATGTATTTTTCCAGAATAATGCTGATATCATTGCAATACAGTTGAAGAATAAGGTTAAGAATTAATTATCATGTCTTTTACTATCTCTATCAGTTTTGCTGGCTGTAATCTCACTGCTCAGGATTGTGAAATTGTGGCATCAGCTCTACAGTCCTCAAACTCTGTCCTGAGAGAGCTGGATCTGAGTAACAATGACCTGCAGGATTCAGGAGTGAAGCTGCTCTCTGATGGACTGAAGAGTCCAAACTGTCAGCTGCAGATACTGAGGTAAGAAGGGAACAAATGTTTTCCAACAATTGTGAAATTGTATTTACATTGTATTTCCTTTGACTTTTTGTTTGTTTGGAACCTTTTAAGTGTTTTGGATGCCTATGGTGCTAATAAATTATGGAAGAAAAATATTGACAAATGTATTCGAAAAAGAAAAGCATGTTGAATTGCACTAACTGAAAAAAATAATGCATTGCATTAACAGTCCTTGCAATTTATTGGCTCGTATTCTCAGGGCTTGCATTTTTAGGGGCTAAAATTCAACATCATTTTTTAAAATTCAAAATCAGTTTTTGTGAATGAATGACTTGTTCTACCTCAGGGGTCCTCAACTCTGGACCTCGAGATCCACTTTCCTGCAGAGTTTAGCTCCAACCATAATCAAACATGCCTGAACAAGCTAATCAGGGTTTTCAGTATTACTTCAAAGTTGAAGGTAGGCATGTTTAATTTAGTTTGGAGCTATTCTAGCTTGTTAGTTTTAGTTTAGTTTTTATTTTGTGAACACATTTTTATTTAGTTTTTATATAGTTTAGATTCAGTTTAAATTTCAGTTTTAATTAAAGTTTAGCAGAATTAACAGATCACTTCCAGAGCACAAGTCAAAGAAAGACTTAGGCATAAAAGGCAATAAGGCATGACTTAGCCTTAGTGATGCAAATGTCTAGAGACACAAAATTAACGCATGCTGAGATTAATTAAATGGTAAAAGTATACAAATATATGCCAAAATGAAGAAGTCAAGCATTTTTACTAAATAAATCTACACAATACGTTGTGCCTAATGTCATATCTAATTATGTGTGTTGAGATATTTTATTATATTATTTATATATGGCTGGTGAGCGACTAACAGCAGATGGAGATCATGCAACAGTACTCGACTGCTATTACTGCAGTTCCCGGATGCATAAAGCTGAATATTCTGCCAAAATTGAACCAGTGAATTTGTGGAAGCAAATTTGTAAAGTCAAACTTACACACATATTACAAACCAACATAGAAAAAGAGATAAAAAATAGAATGCTAAAAAATACAAATACATGATTGCACATAAAAAAATAAAAAATATAACACAATACGTTATCTAAACAAAATAATATATAAGATTCAAAAACAGCTGGCACTACACCTGAACTATTCGATTTAGTAAAAAAAAAAAAAACATGCACGCTGTTTTAGAGATGTTTAACTGTAAACAGCATTGTTCCAGCAAAGTTGTGACATGAACCAAGGATTCTGTAAGTTCATTTGCAACTTGTGACACACTACTTCTGTGTATATAGATAACAGTGTCATCCGCATATATTTGGGATGTTAGTGTTGGGACAGACGGATGGAAGATCATTGATATACAATGGGAAAAGCAATGGACCCAAAATAGCTTCTTGGGGAACACCTGTGGATCTACTCAGGGGAGCTGACTTATAATTCTGTATTCTGATATCATAAGTAGCATGGGTATACTTGTGGCAATAGCCAAAAATACATTGTATGGGTATCAAAATTATTGATTTTTCTGTTATGCCAAAAATCATTATTATGTTAAGTAATGATCATGTTCCATGAAGATATTTTGTAAATTTCCTACCGTAAATATATCAAAACTTAATTTTTGAATATACATTGCTTAGCACTTCATTTGGACAATCTTATAGGCAATTTTCTCAATATTTAGATTTTTTTGCACCTTCAGATTTTCAAATAGTTGCATCTCAGCCAAATATTGCCCTATCCTCACAACCATACATCAATGGAACGTCTATTTATTCAGCTTTCTTTTCAGATGATGTATAAATCTCAATAACAAAAAAGACCCTTATGACTGGTTTTGTGGTCCAGGCTCACATATGATTCAATCCATCTTAAAGACTCTGGAGAAAAATTAAAACCTAATAATTTAGACATAAGAATTATGTATTTTACAGTGTCAGAATCCTTCCTGAGTTCAAGAAGCACAGCCCCAACAACCCCTCCTTTGTATAATAGAGACTTATCTTTTTCAGCGAAGTAACAGTTTACCATCTCAGTTGAATAGTTTGCTCTGAAGCCAAACTGCACTGGATGTAAAGCAAATGAACTGGTATTCAAATAATTAGTGATTTTTGCAGCCACCAATTTCTCTGCAATCTTTGGGACAATAGGTAAAATACTAATAGGTCTGTAATTACTAGCATAATGAGCATATCCACTTTTGAATATAGGCACAATAACAGATTACTTCCAAGCACATGGGAACATCCCCTGAGAAACTGAAAGGTTGATCATTTTGGTGATAAGTTTAACTAGTGATTCACTAAGCTCTTTGAGCAGTACTACATCCATACCAAATATACCCTTTGCTTTGGATGGTATAAGAGAGGTAATTGTTCATTTGACATCTAATTCAGTGATGGCCCTTAAAGTAAGGGCTTGTTCACTGCATTAACTGGACAAACATCTGTATACTCAGGAGAAAAACATTGTGCAATTTTGACTACAGAATCAATGTAGTAATGATTAAGTGCTTCGGCCACTGCAGGGCATTTCCTTTTTGGAATCTTTAAATTTGAAGAGTGTTTAAATCATGCAATATGCTTCAGAATGACACAATTTGATTAATGATTGTAAACTGTGGTTGATATGTTATCTGTGATGAATTGTACCTCAATTAATCACAACAATCCCATGCTATGAGCACTGCAATTGATACAGGGTACAGTAGAATCTATTTTATTTTACAGTACTATTTGATCATTCTGCTTTTCAAACAAAGAAATGTGACAAAGGCCTATAGTGAGGAAGTATGCAATTTTGGATGCAGCCAATAATTCCATGAAAAAAGTCAAAATAAGACTCTTTAGAACACACATATGTAACAAATATATGGTTTGTATGGGTTTTCTATGTGATTTGGAGTACTTTTTATTGGAATAAAGGATGCTTGTATGAGAAATGCTAAGCAGGTGTAACCTATTATAAAAAGCTACTAATAATATATTTATGCTTCATTATATCATCAATATCCACAATCGATTACAATTGGATGTCATTTTAATTAAATGAAATTATATTTCCAAATAATAAATGAGCCTTTTGGTGTTTGCATCAAATCTAAATGCAAACATGTCTGCATATGAATATTTTGGGGGAGAAAAAGAGAAGGAGGTGATAAAAGCATACTAACATTAATCATTTTCCATCTATAGGTTGTCTGGCTGTATGGTGTCAGAGGAAGGCTGTGGTTATTTGTCTTCAGCTCTGAGTTCAAACCCCTCACACCTGAGAGAGCTGGATCTGAGCTACAATCACCCAGGACCATCAGGAGTCCAGCTGCTCAAACACAAACTGCAGGATCCTAACTATAAACTGCAGATACTCAAGTATGACAAACATTTAGTGTTTCCTTTCTTTTTTGTTTCTGTTTTGTTTTTGTTTTTGTTTTTCTCAGTAGTAATTTAGTAGGTATACCTGATATTACTCACAGTATTGCATGTTGGGATGTTTACATATTAACATTAAGAAAGTTAATAAGTTGCAATACAAAATGCAGTAGTTTACAGTAGATACTGTATGTCACTGTAATTTGGTATGTTTGTGTTACTGTAGCATGGACCATGGAGGAGAGGCCAGGATTTCACTAGGACTGCGAAAATGTATGTTTTAAAACAAACACACAGACACATCCTCACATACCAACTTTAAACTGATGTTGTAATTTGGATCATTCCCCAAAAAAGTATTTTTTCTTAAAAAAAATCTGAAGTTTTTAATTAATTTTTTCCCTCTCATGTCGATTGCAAGTGTTTATTAAATATTTACATAATTACTAATCACAAAGTACAGTAATGGCCAGGATTGAAATGCCTAGATTTACATAACGTAAATCTAGTTAATTAATTTGTAACACAAAGCAATTATATGTAAGTATTTCTACTCCAAATGGGAACATACATTTTTGTAACTATTACTAATTATTATTCTATTATTACACCGCATGCAGAATTATTAGGCAAGTTGATATTCTGGTCATATTTTTTTTCCAAGAATGCCTTTGGGTTACGAGTCTGACTCTCTAAACATTAGGCCACGACTTCCCCCAATATAGTGATATATTTTTTTTCCAAGAACATTTGACCAATTCCAAACCACGTCAATCTTAATAACTACTATTGATTTTGTATTTAATCATTTATAAGTGATGTGACATGGTGAATTAGTGCTCTGCATTTATCCCATCTAAAGTGCACACACACAGCAGTGAACACACACACACCGTGAACACACACCCGGAGCAGTGGGCGGCCATTTATGCTGCGGCGCCCAGGGAGCAGTTGGGGGTTCGGTGCCTTGCTCAAGGACACCTCAGTCGTGGTACTGAAGAGAGCGCTGTATATTCACTCCCCCCACCTACATTCCCTGCCGGTATGAGACTGATCTAACCATTAGGCCACGACTTCCCCCAATATAGTGATATATAATATATTAGATAATATAATATAGTGATATATAATTGTCCATGAAGGCTGGAAGTGAAAAACTCCTTATATTCAGGTGTGCAGAATTATTAGGCAGGGTTTCTTTTACAGATAAAATGAGCCAAAAAAGAGATTTAACTCAGACTAAAAGTCAAAAATTATTAAATGCCCATGAGAAGGATGCAATACTAATGTAATACAATTTGCAAAGTTAAGACATGACCATTGGACAGCTAAATGCTTACTGGGTCAGCACGGTCGGAAAAAAACAGGTGTAGAAGAAAAGACACATGTTAACAGAAAAATGATTAAGAATTAAGGTGAAGAATTAGGTGAGAAACCATCAGGAAGCATTTAGTCTCCAGCGCCACCATTTTCCAGCACTGCAGCCTTCCTAGAGTTTTAATTATTAATATTATTATTATTATTATTTCCATTTTCTAATTGTACTCAATCAAAAGTAATTGTACTTAACTTTCTAAATGTACTCAATATTTGTCAAAAACAAAATGTGAAAAGAATGTTTTCATCAAGTCTTATTTTATGTTTGTGGTTTTGGAAATGGATCTTGACTATACCTAATTAGGATTATTATTTAGCAATTTAGCCTAATTTTGAGAAATTGTGTGCTTTCTGCAAATGTAATTGCAAAATTGTTGCAAGTGTAATTGTTTTTTTATTTATTCATTCATTTATTCATTTTTAAACTTCATATTAAGATGTACTTTTACCCATAAACATTCGGTAACAGAAAATTATGTACAAAACCATCCTGCACCCTGTTCAGTGGAATATTTATTTAGGAAATATGATTTATTTATTTATGGAAAAAAAATGTTTATGGAATATGCACTTATGAAGTGTGTGTAGGTTGAGAGAAAGAACACGAGAGATTTTAATTAGCAGTAAGCAGGATTTTTATTTTACGGGGCTCAGCCCCCAGTGAGAGTATAATAATAAATAATAATAATAAAAAAATGTTTGACTGATAGGGTAGGGTGGTATACTAAACTTATTGCAGTATTCCACTGCATTGCATAGATGGGTATAACATTTGAGAACTGAATAAGCCAAATACAAGTCTTCCTGAACGCACACACACACACACACACACACACACCTGTTTACTGTACAAACACAAAATTTCACTGTTTGCATTTCTAGTACAAACGTCTTTCTTTAACTCAAGTAAACAAACCTCTTTTGCCACATCCACTGTAATATGTTTTATATTGAATGTTAAATTTTCAAATGAAAATAGCAACATGATCATTTTATAAAGTAGCCTATGCTTTCATATGTGTTACAGTAAGGGGTACATTTTTGCTGGAGGAAACAGCTGTGATGTGACGAGGGGTGAACACAGCGAAAACTTTACAGTAGATGGGGAACCGATTACTCTCCCATGACATTTTGTAAACTGTATTTATGACAAAGAACTGCACAGATGCAGATATTATAACAGTCTATCGATAAACACACAACTTGTCCTCTGTTTCTCACCACCGCGGTCTCCGGAATGAAGAAGCCCTCCCTAAAAATGGCCTAATGATGCCCATGCCACTAAGCATCTGTACAGTCAGAGGCGTGTTTACATTATGGGGGGCACTAAGCAAATTTGGGTTGTTGGTGTGTCAGGAGAAATTGCATTTCTTCCTGGGTTGGGGGGGAATCACGGGGGCCCCGCGAGCCATGCAATTGTGTGGTGGGTAAACATGCTACTGTGTACAGTAAACAGTGGCAGCGCCATACTAAGTTTAAATAACATACATTTTTTTATTCCTTTTAATTTTCAACAAAAAAAAATAAGTCCGTGTCTTATGAGTAATGAGCCTAATTACTACATCTGGTTTTTCACTCTCTCTGCGTCACGCATGTAATCTGCCAAATCTCAAATGGAATCCCAATTCCTTTAGCATTTGAATTTTCGATGTCTACAGGGAAACCTGTCAATCAGTCTTGGGACGGGACAATATTATGGGGGATGTTTGTATAGGGAGGTGACTGTGCTGGGTGCTTGCTTACTGACAGGCTAGATATTCCAGTTATTCCAGGATTATGAGCATAACTTTAACCCTATCTCTGCCATGTTATCTTAAAAATATAAGGCAAATATATACAGTAACAAGATGTATGTGTGTTGAGACACTTGAAAAGTATTGTGTGGTAAAAGTTCTCAATTTTCTTCTCTCTTCTTGTGTTCAGATGCATGTGATCTCACACTGGATCCAAACACAGCACATGTTAAACTCGTCCTGTCCGAGGAGAACAGGAAGGTGACACGAGTGGAGGATCATCAGCCGTATCCTGATCATCCAGACAGATTTGATGGCTTTGAGCAGGTTCTGTGTGGAGAGAGTCTGACTGGACGCTGTTACTGGGAGGTTGAATGGAGCGGAAGGGGAGCCGATATTTCAGTAGCTTATAAGGGAATCAGGAGAAAAGGGCTGAGTGAAGATTGTTGGTTTGGATACAGTGAATTGTCCTGGAATCTGTATTGCTCTAGCAGAAGTTATTCTGCTTGTCACAATCTAAAGCAAACAGATATACCTGCTCCTTCATCGTCTAAGAGAGTAGGAGTGTATCTGGACGTGTCGGCCGGCTCTCTGTCCTTCTACAGCGTCTCTGACGCACACACAGTCACACACACACTCACACACTTACACACATTCAACACCACATTCACTGAACCCCTCTATGCTGGATTTAAGGTTTATCCAGACTCACCTGTGTTGTTGAAGAAGAGCAAAAATCCCATAGACATAAAAAATGACCATGAATTTAACGATAAAAGACTGTAAAAATGCTACAGTAAAAACCTGTTAAATGGTTAACGGTAAATTCCCCTACCATATATGGTGAAAAACTGTATTGGACATTACGAGTAATTTTATGGTAGTATACCGTTTTTGGAAGTGAAAAAGACCGTATAATTTACAGTGAATAACCTTAAATTGACATTCCCAGAATTCCCTGCGTTACATTTCAAATGTGATGTTTTTTTGTTGAAATAAATATGTTTCGTCTTAGTTTTTTCTTATCAGTTTTGTATATTAAGGTTGTATGTTACACCTAATGTTGTTAAATTATTATTTAACTTTACTTAAATTATTAAGTTAATGAAATTACGGTATTTAACTGTAAATTTAAGTTAAAACCGTAAAACCTAAAATGTTGCTAGTGTAATTTTTACTGTAAAATTCTGGCAACCACAGCTGCCATTTTTTACCGTATATTTTACATAATTTTTTTTACAGTGTGTCATATAAACACGCAGCTAAATATGCTTGAAACTTGATCCTAATTTTAAAGGGAGAAAAATCCCTTATATATTATTATGTCATCCATTTTTGTTTTTGCAAAGTTTGAATTTATACATTATTTTATTAAATTTGTTATTATTTGTTATCTGTTATCACATAAAACAGTATATTTGAGTCATCCTATTGTTATAGTCAGACAAAAAAAAGTCACTGTCACATTGATCAGTTTCTGCTCAGTGCCTATAGTTTTGTTAATATTATATTGTACGTCGTACAATTTGAAAACAATCACCAATCATTTAATAAGAAAAAACAATTAAGTAATAAAATCCTATATAAGTTTTAAATAAAACCGCAGATAACATTGTGTGGTTAGTGTTTTGGTCAGCATTTATTTAAATAATCTTACAATGACGTCACCAGCAATGCTCAGACTGTGCTAATACCAATCAGCATTATTACACTGAGTGTCATTGCTAGTTATGGTTATTTCTGTTAAGACACTCGTATGCTGATTTGTTTCTGTTCCTGTTATATTTGAGTTCGTTTCTTGTGTTTATTTCCAGTTTTCTGTTTATATTATTATTATTATTATTTTCTCATTTGTTTCTAATTACCGATTAGTTCATTCCCTTGTTTTATTCACCGATTGTCCTGTCTTGTCTTAACACAGTCAGCTTGTGGTTTAATAAAGACTGTATAAATGAGAAACATACATGTTTAATTATAAAAAAATAAAAATCATAAAGGTGTGATGAGACGAGACAATGAAGTGAGGATCCATCTGCAGGCTTTAATACACAAAACGTGGTCAAGTACAGGTAAACAGTGGTAAACCAGGCAATATGAAACAGCAATCCAGGAAACAGGTGAGGGTTGCTCTACGGCAAACAACATCCAACAGGGCTAGACAAAAGGTAATCCAGTATACAGGCGAAGGGTCAGGGCAGGCAGCGAATAAGCAAGACAAGATAAACAGGCTAGGATCAAAGACACGGGTAATCAGGCAATGACAAGACAAGACTAGACTAGACTATGAATAGGAATGGCTCCTTAATGCTGCTAATGGCTAAACAATACTCGGCCCTGAATGAGGGTGAACTTGTGTGTTAAATAGTCCATCTGAGTACAGGTGTATCTGCTAATCAATATTGTGTGAAATGGATTGTGGGAAACATAGTGTCCAGGGTGAAATGCAACAGTCGGTGTGGTGCGAGAATCTTTGTGGTGCAAGGAGACCTCTGGTGGAGAACTGGAGGAAGACAGGATCTTGGATCTTTTGTGACTTTGTGAGAAAAGATCCAAGAAGAATAGTTGGAATATGATGTATTGATGGTTGCAAAATGTCAAGTTGAGTCAAGTCACCTTTATTTCTGTAGCGCTTTATACAATACAAATTGTGTCAAAGCAGTTTTTCAGTGTTAAGCAGGAAAATAATGTGTTAATAATGCAAATAAAATTCCATTCTACTGTAAAGCAGCTCTGGCCAGACGAAACCAGCATGGTGTGGTTTAATTCCAGACTGCAACACAAGTCAGATTGAGCAGAGGACTCGTCTGGTTATGGGTAGCTACAGTGACTTTGAAATAAGAATGAAAAGACTAATATTAGCATAGATGCCATTCTTCTTACGATCTGGTGAGTAAATCGGGTGTTATGGGAAGTGTTCCTGGTTGTCCTAATTAATGCAGCCTGAGGCTGATGATACATTGAGCAATTTTGTCAGTCAACTTTGGGCAATGTGGCTGTCAACGACCAACCAGGTGAGACACAGGGCCCCCGACCAATCTAAAGTATCCAGATAGAAATTTATTACCCATTCTCAATGGGAAAGTGCTCAAGCAAAATTGCTCAAAATGTTGCCCCGTGTGTCATCAGCCTAACAATCCTTTAACGGATTTGCCTCCCGAACAACACTAGGTAGATTGTTCCAGATTTTGGGAACTAAATAGGAAAAGGATCTGCTGCCCGCAGTTGATTTGGATATTCTAGGTATTGTCAAATGGATGAGCCAAATCTTTCAGGGCTTTAAGTAATTAGCAATATTTTAAAATGTATACAATGTTTAATAGGGAGCCAAGGCAGTGTTGAGAGCAGATTAGCAGAACAAATTTAATGCTGCACTCAACATTTTTCATTTAATATTAATTTTATTTCTGAAAACAGTAATGGATTTAGTTAAACTGTGCAGGGGCATTTTAATCACAAGCCCACATTAATTTCTGACCCATGGCCAGCAGCCTTACAGATGCTCCACCTATTCTTTAATTTCAGCTCAGAGTTGTTCACAAGCTGCATGCGCAATAAAGAACTGCATTGTTTTTGACAAACGATAGAAGACATTTGCCAGATTTGCTTCCAACAATGGATTGTAGGTAACTATCCACCTCATCCAGTGCTCTTTTTATTTCCTTTCCTTTCACTGCAAATGATCCAGCGTGTGAGTGAACTGTACGAATGACTCAAACTGAATTGCAAACTATTTCAGACCTTTTTGCAAAACCGTTTGACCGATTAGTTAAAAAGTTATTCATTCGCATATCTGGCACAACCAGTTCTGATTCTAAACAGTGGATAGAAAGCCCAAATGACATGATTGCTGAAAAATTATCAGATAAAATGATTCTCAGGTCTCGTGCCCCCTCAGATTTCTGAACCAAGTGCATTTTGAATGCAGCTTCCAAAAGTCAAAAATAGCAGAATAATATTTTTTTATATTTGATACACAGATTCAAATCTGTGTTCGCTGGCTGGCGCTGAGCCAGAGTCAGACGCATTTGTACAGCGCTGCATTATATAACCAATCATACATGATTCTGTTGAGCTTATGATTGCAATGGCCAATCAGAGGCGTTCAGATGAGTCATCGCTGAAACGCGGTGTTTTGCTCTAATCAGAAACAACAGTGCGTATGTGCGTACGCATGTAAGCAATGGCCCTTTTCCACTGCATGGTACGGCACGGTACGGCTTGGTACGGTTCACTTTTGGGGGATTTTCCACTGGGTACAGTACCTGGTACTTTTTTTAGTACTACCTCGGTTGAGGCTCCAAGTGAACCGTACTGTTACCAAAACATGACGTGTAAACTCTTCTGATCATGAATTGGCCGGAGAGAATCGTCACTACCTGTGTCACTGAACTTGCGACACAAACACAATTTAAATCAGCACAGCCAGCGAAGGATCGAACGCAACTGTTTTGAACGAGGACACCTTTTTTAACAACCAAAAAGTGGCCGTTTCGTTGTCTGTTGAAGAAGTACAGACGCTCCTCTGGTTGATAGCAGAGGAGCGGATCCAGCGAGAGCTTGATGGGGCGACGCGAAATGAAAAAGTTTTTCAGGAGTCACGGCAATAGAGGCGGCGCAACTATAACGACATGTGAATAATCCCGGTACTGAACTGCAGTGGAAACGCAAACCGAGCAGAGCCGTGCCGTGCCGTGCCGAGTCGTACCACGCAGTGGAAAAGCGCCATAAGAGATTAATTTCACAGTGTAAACAGCTTCAGTGATTTTAATGGGAGTTTTTCAGAGTGTCTCTGGCTAGACTGAATGAAAATGTTCTTTGATAATGTAAACGTTCTTTGCTCTCTGTAAAATGAAAGTGTTATAATTAGTAACTTAATATATTGCTATTAAATTCACATTAAATACAAAGTCAGTCATATTAAAAATATGTTATGGCATGACACTCATATCTGGTACTTAAGTAAAAAGTCAGGTTTTTGCATGACGCCCCTGCTCAGTGTTCACCCAGGTTTGGGAAATTTAAACATTGCAATCACAAAATGAAAGGCCAATTAATTTAATTAAAATGTAATTAAAAACTTCTTAATTAAAAATGTTTCCTCTAATAACTGCTATTTATTATTAATGATGTAATGAATCAAGTGTCTTCTTTTAACAAAGTCAGGAGGATCTTTCTATAATATATGCCAAATTGCATGCAAATTGTCAAAGTTAAAAAAAAACAGGGTTTTACATTAAAAAAAGTGTCATAAATTGTTTCTTGTAGAATACAAAATATGTAAGTCCATTTGATTCTCTGAAGGATTCGCATGAGAAAATCTTAAAATTCCCTAGTTTCGTGAACCATTAAATTTAATAGTATCATGTCTGGATAGAAATATGCATATGGAAATTATATGCAGACTAAGTTATGAATAACAAAAATTATAACATAAGTAGAAGAAAAAAGTCTACACAATGTTTTATGTACAATGTCATTTTACTGAGCAAATCAACAGCAATGCTACTAACAAAATCGCTATTTCAGAGAAATGTACTTAACACAACACACTTCTAAAAGAGAATGTGTTGGTATGTTAGATTTTCTTGTTTTTGGCTGAGCAGTTGTTTAGGTGGCTTGCCAATGTACTGGATTTCTTCTAACACATAAAAGAAGTTAATCTGACCAAAGTTCTTGCAAGGAGAAGAATTTATTGAGGGTAGTAGTGTAGCACAGTTCTTCAACAGAGATGTGCATTGGCCTTCAAACGTTAAGTTCTGTCTGTGGGACAGAGCTATATACTTAAATACAAAAAGGATAGAAACAATAGATACAGTACAGGATAACAGTACAATACAATACAGGAACTTAGGAACTATGTCCATTTCTTCTAATTGTATACCGTAACTTTATTATTATGCTGTTAACTACCTCTGTTAACTATCTTTGTAACTATTTCGGAATCAGTTCAATTCTTTAAGTCCCCGTGTCTCTAACACAAAAAACAGAGGAACCTGGATAAAGCCCAAATCCAGCATAGAGAGGTTCAGTGAATGTGGTGTTGAATGTGTGTAAGTGTGTGAGTGTGTGTGTGTCAGAGACGCTGTAGAAGGACAGAGAGCCGGCCGACACGTCCACATACACGCCTACTCTCTTAGAGGATGAAGGGGCTGGTATGTCAGTGCTTATTTTATTGTGTAATGCAGAGAAATTGCTACTTGTGCAGTAAACAGTCCAGGATTTTTCATTGTATCCAAGAAAACACTCATTACTGTTTCCTTTCCGCTGTATTCCTTTACATACCACTGCTATGTCAGCCACTCCACTCCATTCAGCCTCCCAGTAACAGCGTCCAGTCAGACTCTCTCTACATAAAACGTTACCATAGTAATCAAATCTCTCTGGATGATCAGGATATGGCTGATGCGCTTTCACTCGGATCACTTTTCGATTCCCCTCGGTCAGAGCGAGACGAGAGTCTGCCGTATTTTCATCCAGTGTAAGATCACAGTAATCTGTGGTTGAGAAAAAAACAGCAAGGTCATTCATAACATGGTAAAATGAGTGAGAATAAAAAAATAAGTACAACTACCCCTGGGTGAATAGTGATCATGTCATCTATTCCTCTCTTTCTTTCTTTGACTGTATTATTATATATAAATGCATAAATGTATATCATGTTAAGTAAGCTGGTGTTTTATACACCTACCGAATGTGTAGTTGTGTTTATTTAAACTTACATTTTTTCAGTCCTGGTTTAATTCTCCCCTCTCCACCATGACCCAATCTATAGAAACCCAAGCACACACACACTGGTAAGTATGAAGGGATAACACAATAAGGTGATGTTGCAGTCATGCTTAGGTATAAAACATAAAAGACAACGTACATCCAGTGGTGCACTGATTCATTTTAATTTTTCAAATGATCTTCATATGAAAGCTCAAAATCTCTCAATTTGACTTTGAAGTCCAATTTTCAATAAATACAATATAACGGAAATAATACTTAAAAAAATGGAAAGAAGTAAGTTTTTGAAAAAGAGCTGTCATTATGTTTTATGTTTACACTGGTAAACTCCAAAGCTGGACAGTTTTTAGTCCAAGGATCTAGTAAGCCTGGGTTACCTGAACTGGGGTTTGCGAACACCTCAGGTTCTTGAGGGAACTAAAGGTGGTTTGTGAGTAAAAGCTGTCAATTTTTAAACATAAAAATGGGAAATTTAAATAAATAGTGGATTTCGACAGTCTGTATTATGCTGAGTGTCCCGTCCAGCCCTGAAACGTATCCTGTATATAATGCATCTATGTTTATTTTTTTGTATTAAAATGCATGTTTTGTTAAGCACTAATGTGTCTGGACTCCTCTCTGTTGTAGCCTAAGAGCCGGCTATATGGATTGTGTCTCTCTTTCCAAAATGTCTCTCAACAGTGCAAAATCTCTCTCCGTCTCTCGCTCCCCCCTCTCTCTCATCTGCACAACATTATGAAAAATGCCACTGTATTTGAAGGATACAACTTGATGAAAATGGTAAGATTTGTGTATTTCCTTTTTTAAATACTTTGTCAGTGATGTGCCGAGTCAGACAATAGTATTTTTACTGCAATAAATATAGGCTTATCTGTTTCCACTAAAATAGCTAAAAGATGCTCACCTTATCAGCAAAACTGCCTACATTTAATTTGATAAGAATTGTTTAAAACAATTGAAATATTATTTGGCCAGTGGAAATAATGAGATCAACTCTATTCTAAATTGATCTATCCTAATTTATCTGATAACTTGACAGTTTTGTTTTTATGAATATGTTGCTATATTTATTCTAAAACATATCAAGAATATTGGATGATTTTTAGCAATAAAAATTAATGTGGCACAAATGGCATTGCACGAGTTTGTGTGCCCATGTCATCTTAGCAGTAGTGGTAAACAGATTTGGCTTAATGTCTGCAATGGAGGGCTCAGAGAGACTATTCTACTCGAGCTCTGCTAACCCCCCAATAAACAGAAAGATAAAGAAATAAATATGCATTAAAAGGAGGAGATGGGGAGGAGGAGGGATGCCAAAAGTACTAACAACGGAAGTGGTAAGAGGCTGGTTTTTATACTTGGATATTAATTGGAAGATTAGATGGGCGTACTCCTCCCGAAATTACGTTAATAACTTCACTTATAGTTGGTTTCTCATATTTCCTTAATGTCTTGTACCTTTTTGTGTTAAACATGGTGTCATGGGAATATGCATGGAAATGATATGCAGATGAGGTTGTGCATAGTAAAACTAGGTGTTGTAAGCGCCATATTTGGTGATTTTGGGGAGGAGAAGGGGTGGAGATTCATGTACGCACAATCTTCCGCTGACTGGGATTTATAAAGGGATTTTTGTACAGGTTCTGGCATACGCAGGGTTTTATAAATCTGAAAACACAGGGGATTTCACAGTCGATTCAAAGTATTCTAGAGTCAAATGTGAGGCCATCCTTCCGAAAGCTAAAGTTGGAAACTGGGTCATGCAACAGAACAATGATCCCAAGCACACCAGCAAATCTACAACAGAACAGCTGAAAAGAAAAGAATCAAGGGGTTGCAATAGCCCAGTCAAAGTCCAGACCTTACTCAAATACTGTGGTGAGAACTGTGCATAAACAAATGCCCACAAACCTCAATAAACTGGAGCAACGTTGTTAAGAAGAGTGGCCCAAAAATCCACCAGAATGATGTGAGCGACTGATAAAGTCATACAGAAAATTATTACTTTAAGATTTTGATGCTAGGAGTGGATCTAAAAGCAATTGAATCATAGGGTGTCCTTAGTTTCTTACCCATGGATTTTTCATCTTGGCTTTATTTTTGTTAAATAAATAATGATAATAATGATGTCCTGTGATGTTGTTCATCTGAGGTTTTATTTTCCAAATTTTAAGACAAAGGACCACATATGTTTTATTATGTCCTGATACAGAAAACCATGGAATTCAATGGGGTGTCCTAACTTTTTCACATGACTGTATAGCCTCATTTATAAAACATGCATACACACAGATTTAATATTTTAGTGTGCATACAAGCCAACGTTCAGATTTATAAAAATGGTCTTTAACATAGAGAAGTGCTTAGCATGGAATCAGATTCTAAGCAGTCATATGCACATTTCCTTGTGGCAGAGTCATAATGCTGCAGGTATTTGGCAATCTAAGCAGTTCTTGCTGCTCGCCATTCTCAACTAAAGGATTTGGACAATAACTTGTGCTCTATTATATGTTAATGACATTAATTAGGAGGCATTTACAAGCAGAGATCTGAAACCATTCAGCTGCACACAAATTCAAGTTCATTTGCGAGTTACAAATTCCACATCTGGAAGAGAGGTGTATGCACATTCTTTGTGCATACGTTCATTTCTCTGAATCACATGTATGCACATTGCAGTAGCGACTCCTGACCGTAAATTTAGGTTGGCCAGATTCTTGGTCTTAGCGCTAATTTATAATAAACTCAATAAAGCTTATAGTCTTTATAGTCTAATAACTGAACACATGCACACACGCTTGTGTTATTCAGCCTGTGGGCGGCACACTAATGTTGATTGACAGGCTAAGTTCACACACATGGAATGCTATAGAATTATTGCCTTAATATTGTCTCCGAATGCTGATTTAGAATGTTACAAGTTGTAGAGGAATTTAAGTGAGGAAATGAATACCATGTCCATCTTAAAAGAAACACAAACAAAACTAACATTATATAAAGGCTTTTCACATGAGCACATTTAAAATAAAGGATTAACACTTTCATAAATTTAAAATAGGGCTGTCACGGTATTAGATTTTCACACCACGGTTATTGTGGCCAAAATAATTCACAATATCGATATATTGCGATATCTATAGAAACCTCGGGGGGAAAATTTAAAAATAAAATACATTTTTTATTTTTATTGTTTACTCAACGAACATAAGGATACTGATAAACACAGGGCACAAGTCTATAGCTTTCTCTGGTTTTTTTTGCAGCTCCCTGTAAAACCACTGTTAACAGGTTAATGTAACATTTCCCATTCCATGACTAGTAAAATAATCGCAACTTACTCTCCATAAAATGGTGTAACATGGTTCTTCTCAGAGTTGCTGTGCACACTGTGTTATCTTAAGAATCCTATTCATTTTAAATATTGTGGTTATTGCTAATTACCGGTATATTGTCACACCCTAAATTAACACAATGTCGATATTTCATGCTTTGAATATTACAATTATCGTCAATACCGGTATATTGCGACACCCCAAATTTAAAACAAACTATTTGTCTCAGAATACTGAACACATTTACAGTTTATTATTTATTAAGTTTGTATAGAGGTCTATGTTTTGGGTGAATATTTTGGTGAGGAAATATGATGGATTGTATGCAGCATTTTATAAATGAGGCCGCTGGTGTACTTTTGGAGTGTCCAAGCGTTCTTGGAAGTGCACCTAAGTTTACTTTGACAAAAGCTTGTCTTTGAAATTAGGGTTAATTATTGTTTCCTAAATGTATATTTTTTAAAAAGGCGCTTTTCACTCTATTTGGAGTTCTATTTGATGTGGGTTGAAGGTTAAAGAGTTAAATGTTTGTCATACTTGAGTATCTGCAGTTTATAGTTTGGATCCTGCAGTTTGTGTTTGAGCAGCTGGACTCCTGAGTGTCCTGGGTGATTGTAGCTCAGATCCAGCTCTCTCAGGTGTGAGGGGTTTGAACTCAGAGCTGAAGACAAATAACCACAGCCTTCCTCTCTCACCATACAGCCAGACAACCTACAGATGAAAGATGATTTGAACAGTTAGATCTGATATCTTTTTATTTTGACAGTAGAGAGCTAATAGATTTATTATGTGTATTATGAATTAATTAGACCAAAAAAATTTAGGGCTAATTAAAAGTGTGCTTTTTACCAATGAAGCAGTGGGATATGTGTCATTTCATTGTTACTGATACATTGAAAGTGTGTGGGTGTTACTGTTCTTAATCATAATCAATCTTAATCAGTCAAGCGGCTCTTGCATATTGTGCAAGTTCAGATTTACAGATATTTCAAGACTGTCAAGTGTTTTATGCTCACAAAGGGTGGTGAAATCAACACCAATACACTTCATATCTGAACTGAAGAGATATTTTCAAAACTGTAAGAAAATTAATTTTACTATTCGGAGACCTTATACAAATAGATCAAAGAACAAAATGCTATTTATTTTCCTTGACCACTGGAGGTTCCATACTAATTTCTCCCTCATTCACTGTAAATTCTATGTCACATTTCTGCTCTGTCTAAAGGTGTTATAAGGGATTTGAAGGCCCCTATTACCTGATAGCACTGAAATAGGTGTTCTGAAATATCATTCTTGTTTGTGTAAACATACATGTGGCTGTGGGTTGTGGCTGGATTGCTTTAATATGCACTTTGATGTACTTTTCACCAAGCCAGCACAGGAGCACAAAGGGTGCTCTCCTGGGTTTTCTAACTGGGGCCCAGCAAGTTTTCAGCCAGTCCTCAGTTTCCATTAAGACCCCACATGGTTTAGGCAAGATGATGAAATTAACACTAATGAGTGTTTGTATAATCTACACTACAGATAGAATGTTCCAACTCTGTTTACACACCTCAGTATTTCCAGCTGACATTTTGGACTCTTCAGTGCATCAGAGAGCAGCTTCACTCCTGAATCCTGCAGGTCATTGTTATTCAGATCCAGCTCTCTCAGAACAGAGTTTGAGGATTGTAGAGCTGATGACAAACTCTCACAACACTGACCAGTGAGATTACAGCCACCAAGACTAGAACAAAGTAAATATATCCTTAACATTACTTATTACCTCAATTATTGCATTTTTAAATTAATATGGCATTAATTATTGTGAACATCATAAATTATGCTTTTCAGAGAGGATAATGTTGCTCTGTAGAAACATTTTACTCATGGTAATACTCACAGGGCTTTTCTGCAGTTGATGACAGCTGGTATCAGTCTTCTTCTCCCCTCATCTGATGTGTTGTATTTCTTGAGGTCCAGCTCATCCAGCACCTCCTCTGACATCTGAAGCATGTAGGCGATTGTTGAGCAGTGAGCAGGAGAGAGTTTCTTCTCTGAGTGTTTGTCTGATTTCACAAACTCCTGAATCTCTCTGGACAGAGTCTGATCTTTCACTTCCAGCAGACAGAGGAACAGATTGATGGATCTTTCAGTGGAGAGTCCATGTCCATCTTTGATCTTCTCTTTAATGTACTGTGTGGTTCTCCTGATGCTCTCTGAGCTGTTCTCTGTGTGAGTCAGTAGATCCTGTAAGAGTCTCTGATTGGACTCCAGTGAGACGCCCAGCAGGAACCGGAGGAACAGATCCAGGTGTCCATTCTCACTCTCAAGTGCTTTAACTACTGTATTTTTTATAAAGCCATAAATTAAATCAAAAAACTTAAGGGTGTCAACATTTTTAATTACATGGCAGTAAAACAGATAGAAAGCAGCAAGAAACTCTTGAACACTCAGATGAATGAAGCTGTAGACTTTCTTCTGATGAATCACAGATTCCTGCTTAAAGATCTCAGTGCAAATCCCAGAATACACTGAGACGTCAGTGATGTCTA